TCCAACCCCCACCATTCTGTGATTCTGTGTATAGGCAACACTGAAGACCTGCTCAGTCACCACCAGCTCCGCACCCAGCTGGGATAGTATCGCACAGTTCACCAATAGCATATGTAGTTGCAGGAAGCTGTAGGCATCTTCAGGACTATTATTATATGTTTATTCATCCTTCTAATGATATCCTGTAAATTCCCAGTAATACTAAGGATAAGAAAAGAACATTTTCAAATTATTTCAGTAATTCTAGACCAAAAAAACCCAACATGGGCAAAAGTAGTATAATTTAAAAAACACTTCTAGATCACCTGTGGAACAAAGCAACGCAGAGAAAGACCTAGTATCTTTCATCAAATAATAACAAGAGTACTTACTGTCACTGAAAAGGAAAAATCTGACAGATCTATTTGCTTCCATTTCAAAAAAAAGAGTTCAAATGAATCACTGAAATTACACACAGAGATGGGTGTTTTCAAGATGATATCATGACTGGCCCAGCTCTGACTGTGCAACGCAATTTACTCTATGGAAAGAGACAATTATACAAAACTGTCTAAGCACTTGACATTTCTGAGTCAGCCAAGAATCCAAACTGGTCAAAGCACAGGAAAAGAGGATGGAAAGAACAGATTCTCCTGATTTAGGAGACATCTTTTTTTGTGCAGCCAGATATTGATAAACATTTCTCAGATAAGCAGGTCTGAAACAAAAAGGGCAAGCCATCAAGTCAGGCATCTATCCTGGTTTTTTTTTTTTTCTATTGTTATTATGTATATTTCTAATTAAAACTTATACCTTTGATTTATTTCACACTCTTCTGACATCAAAAGCCTTAGTGAAAAATTTGTTTGTTAGAACACCTGTCACTATCCTGGTTTCTTATGAAATAAATTTCAGGATGCTCCAAGTTGGGGGTGGACTTTCAGAGCATGGTCTGTTGGAAGAGCATGTTCAGAAAACTCACAGATTTCACAAAATTTACACCACTCGCAGCCATTCTGTTGGCTAATACAGTGGTTCAGGGCCTAACACACACTCTTGTTCTTAATGGCTGCTCATATAAAAAACAATCTTCATGAAGAGAGAAAAGAGCTAAGAAATTACATAAAAGTCATTTTTTCTGTATTACAGAACAAAGTACAGCCCAGATCTCATATTCTACATAAATGAAAGACTTCCAGGAATTCTCTTGTTCAAGTCCCAGAGGAATACAAAGATAGAGGATTTCATGTCGCCTGGTTTACTAATTCAAAATTGAACGTGCCCATAACCTTGGCAGTTATAGAAGATGCTTTAGTCAGCAAATTGCATACAAACACTTACACCATAGATGGTAACATGGAGTCCCACAAAAACATCTTTTTCTATAGCAAAACTGCTAAAGAAACCCAATCAGAAGCAGTCAGCTTCACATAAATTTTAAGCATTGCTAGATTCACTCAGAGTTTCACTGGGACAGACCCCATTTGGTATATTATGAAAGCGAGAAGCAGAATGCACAGAAGCAATCAAAAGTGCTAGTTTCAAGGGGAAACAATCGGCTCAGACAGGGTGAAACCAGGAAGAGATCTATTTGCCATGCGTTCCTTCTATATTCAAAGAAAAAGACTGCACATATTTCTTCCCTTCCCTAAAAAGCAGGACTGCAACAAAGGAGTAGGTGACATATCAATATTCAGGCTAATGGGGACAACCAACCAAGGCCCTAAATACTCCTTAACTGCTTGTGCCAAAAGGACTTTAAGAAGCAATGCAAAAATCTAGAGAAATAACGACAACTTCATTAAATACAAACTAAAGCAACGAAAGCAAAATGCACACATTCTGCACACACAAGCTTGACAAAATGGCAGAAAACAAATTAACAATAATTCTACTACAATTTCTGTGAAATATAAGCATCTGTTAAATGTTTAGAAGATATTCAGTATCTTTTGAACATTCTGTAGACAGACTAGCTTTACCCACTGAAGAGCTCAAAATTCTCAGGGTATTTACTAGTACACAATTAGAAAGGAAATTATTAATATGCAGTTATAAGACCAACTAATCTTTACATCTGGAAAACCAAAGTTTCTTTCTGAAGTTGCTGATAAAACAATATTATGAAAATGTTCTAGTCTTTTGAATAGAATATTCTCTTTTCTTGGTAAAGAAAAACAAAAATACCTTTTGTTCATTCAGCAGGTCTGTAATGGTTTGTGACATTTCATCCAAACTCTGTGCTGCCTTTACCAGGTTATGTAGAGCACGTACATGCTGGTGAAGAGGTTCAAAGTCACAAAGTATGGGAACCCTTAAAAACAGTATAGCATTATTATTTTTTTTCCCCCACATTGTTAATCTAATATTCAAATACATGATTATGTGTATATTCCAACAAGTCTAAGCTTCCCTCTTTATAAAGTTTGCACTTTCTTCATTTAATCTATTTTACATTGAAAATAAGACCACCTGGTATTTGTGTTTTAAATTAAGAACTCTGAGAGCTTTTAAGGAGTAGATAATGATAAACACAGTGATGAGGAAGTAATATGTCAGTCTTTCCTTCCGAGGAAAGGATTTACCAGCAGTACCTACAGTTACAATAACAGAAGAGAATTGATAGTGATTAGATCTGTAATTGAAGCAATTACTCTATTCATTGACATTTGCAAATGACTCTAATCTACTCTCCAGTTGGATTCTCTCCAATCCAACTCTTCCTTTGAAGCAGGTATTAACTCTCTACTATTTTATTTTCATGACAGGTAACCTAAATTAAAAGACTGATTAATGTGTCGTGATCACATTGCAAGTACTGCAAGATAAGCTTTCGATTGCAAGTTTTCTATACCTCCAGAAAAGCAATATTTATTTCATTTTTCTTGAGAGTACACATATGCAGAATTTTTAATTTGTTCAGAAACAGAGTCACTGAAATCATGAAGCAGGAGCTCATTTAGACTAACAATATAGTAACAATGCAATGTATTTTGCATTCTCTATTCAATATATAGGGCAAGTGGTATCTAGTGCGTCTTTATAGAATTAGTATTTCAATAACTGCCCAAATATATAATTTCAGAAGACTGATGCCCTGTAAGTAAATAGAGCATTATTTTATTTATGTAGCTCAGGGGTTCACTGCTGACAGAAGATGACTTTGTGCTGTGTCTCATTTTGCCTATTGCTTGCTCTTTAGATGTTGAATGAAAATACCAAGGAAGTACTGCTCTAAAGTATCTTCCGAAGCTCACTGTCTACCAAGGTGTGTGATAGCTTTGCCCACTCAAGTTGCAAGTCCACCACTATCGTCAATATTTCCATCAAATGTAATCCTGAGCCCAGAAACCAGGAGGAACATGACATAAACCCACCTCTATTGCCATCAAGTGGAAAACTATGTCATTACAATTCGGACCAACTAAAAAAGTTTGGTTAGTTAGTGACTGGTTTTCAGACAATACTAAGGCCAAATTCTTCCTGAACTCAGTCCAAATTTCCCAGGAAGGTTGTAAAAATCTCAAACCCAAAAATCAGGCAAATATCAGCAATATGATACTACCGTTTGCATTTTTTTCCCCGCAGAATCACTGAAGAGCAAGCCTAAGCATATAACAAGAGGAATTAAAAGGGTACATCAGCTGTTTCATGATCTAGGGCAAATCCACTATTAAGCAGACTAAGCTCACTATATATATTTTTAATTCCAGCAGCAATACCATAAGGATGGCCAGGAGTTCTGAATCAAAGAGAATGCCAGTACAAAATAAAGGCAGAGAATTCAGCTCCTTGACTGTGCACCAGTAACACGTACTGGTGAACTTGACAGATGACAGCGGAGCATCCACCTTTTGGATTTACCTTATCAGCCTTTCTGGGACTGTGGCCTTGGGGTTTAAAACAAAACAAAACAAACAAAAAAAAAGAAAATAAAAAAAGAAAAAAAGGAATATCTACAAATCTCTAACTGTAGGTCTCTTCTAGGAGGAGGATGATACATGCAGCACCTGATTGTGGTCATACTGACAGATGACTTCCCCGACAGAACCTTACATAAAACTTGTTACTGCCTACTTCTTGCCCACTACCTTGGTTGGCATTTCTCTATCTGATTGCTAGAGGTTTAAGAGATAGGAGTTTGAAGGCTCACTCCAACAGTTAACTTTTCCAGGAAGATATCACCAAGTTCTAGATAAGAAACTAATACTGTCAAGTTACATGTGACACAGAGCAGTAGCTTTCCTGACTACATTTGCATGTCTGCCTCATTGTTGGGAGATAAGAAAAATGGAAATAGAGCTTTGCTCAAAATGATGGACTTCCATAGACAGCAGAGGCACTTAGAGAATACACCTTTTAGTAAAATCAGTCTGTTAGAGAAAAAGCAATAATTGAACACAGGAGATCTCTATGATCTCATAGTGGGCTAAAGAAATTTCTTATATTTCCTCCAGAGTACCACTTAACAAAGAGCAAATGAAAACCAATTAAAAAAAAAAAATCAATCTAATTCTGATCTGACAAAACAAAGTTATGAGTTTATTTCCGTTTAAAACTGACAATATTTTTGTTGTTGTTTTTAGCTATAAGGAAGCTTAGAGGAATGTCCAACATCAGTATAAATGTGTTTAAATCAACCATACTTGAGTACATGAAGCATATAGATAATATGTATCTGCATTAAGTCAGTGAAGACCATTATTTAAGAATTATATCAGTTCAAAAAATATCCCTGTCTGTTCCTTATGAAAAATGATCTGGGGAGCGGAGCTGAAGGGGGTGGGAGCAGGGGGAAGCTATTTCCATACCATACAAAGTTTAAAAAGGTGCCTTACCTGAGTAACGGCTGTACTTCTGAAGGACAAAAGGACTGCAAAAACTGCAAGTCATTTAATGAGATATCTGGAAGCTCACTGTCAAATCTTCGAGGTTTTTGTGTCTGTATTAAGAAGAAATTAATTTACACCTTGTTGTTAAGGTAAATAATATCAAGATAACTAAGGAAGGATTAAAAAAGAGCTTAATTAATAACACAGAAAAGTTGGTGTTAAGCTGATCTCTCTCTCAAAAGATTTCAAACTTTTTTAAAGGAACCATGTCTGGCCCCACTCCCTTAAAAAAAAAAAAACCAAAACAACCACCAACCAAACAAAAAAAACCAAACCCACAATCATTTACAGTTATAGTCATTACACTATCCATAGTGCCCTGGGCAGTAGTATCTGTGGTAAGGGACCTAGGACAATCACCTAGTCCAACTTCCTTCCTACTATCAAGCTTCAGAAACATTAATGATGTGTTTAAAAAGTTAAGGGATAAGAAATGGCACTGAAGCTTTATTTATTGAGCTGCTAAACATACAGTCAAGTAATAATGCAGTTCAGTATTCAAAACTGCATTGGTCTGGCTGAGATGGAGTCAAAACCCAGCCACACAAACCCAATAAGGAAACACTGAAATATGCATTCTTATTTTTCCAAGTATCCTTTAAAAAAATCTGCAAAGGATAAGCTGAAAAGGTTAAACAAAGCAAAGTGAGATGGCAACATTAGAATCAGGGAAAGTTATCTTACTTATGTTAAGCAAGCTGTATGAAATCGAAGTTAACGGGCATTGCTTGAATACAGCTATACTTTTTCATGCCTTCACGTTACTAAACAATAAAGAGATGAAAATGCTTTTCCATTCCTTACTTAGTGGTTATAAAAGAACATGAAATCCTTTTACTTGCTTTTACTATCAGATTAATCTTATGGCTGTATGATTCAAAAGAGAGGATCAAATTATCCCTCCTCCTGGCTACTTTTTTCTGATCACTGACAGTAATTTTTTGTTCAATACCACAGACTCCCCCTTAAAAATGAGTTGACAGTTCTTCTCCCACCACACTGCAAGTTACAAACCAATGTTAATACAGATCACCTGAAATAGCAAAGAGCACTAGCTCCCAGCTTCTTTATGTGTGCCAGAGCAATGTGACAGACATATAATTTCAATGAATTAATCTTAGTTTTTAATTTATGAAAGTACTTTTTATTAAAATGAAGTAAAACCCAAAAATATATTGAGTACATACACAAAAGGATGGAGGCCAGGAGTCAAGTCCTCTAAACAAACGATTCCTTAGAAAAGACTTCCCTGAGCAAAGAAAAAATCATTATTTAAAGGAAATGCAACATACACACCATGCCTCAAGAGAAACAATTAAGCTACTGCAGTAAGCACCATTAACTATGCCATTTCTTGACAACATAAAAATTGCAAGTGATCACAGAACTTCACACAAAACCCACCATCCCCGTAAAACTTCTCACTTAATTTAAGCCTCTTTGTAACATTCAGTCCTGCAAAAGCCTCAAATCCTTTTTGAAATTTTCATTGTAATCTTGCTAATCTCCTTTCCAAAATTTTTATAGCCTTTTGCTCAATTTTCTTATTTTAGCAGTCATTCAGAATATAAGTTGCAGACTTTGAAGGAAAAAAAAAAAAAAGGTAATCAGATTTCTTTTACCAGCAACTTTTTTTCCTTTTTTTTTTTTTTTTTTTTTTTAACTTGTAGTCAAGCTCTTTAGACACAGGTCTTGATTCTTGTTTCTTTTCTGAAGTAGTATAAAGGAAGCTGTAGCAACACTCCAACATTCAGTAATGGTTTAAAAAGTGTTATTTAAAAGAACTTGCAGAGTTCAAACAGAAACTGCATTCAAATGCAATAATTAGAAATATCATCTTTTATAAGCATTAAACTAATTAGAATTTTCACAGTATTTTGGATGATCTATATGAAACAGTTAATTAATTTGATTAACAGAAAAATATTTTCATAATAGGACCATCTGGCACACTGCATGTATTTCCTATTTAAGTTATAAAAAAATATATAGGTATTTAAACTACAAAGACAAGTCATATGTAATCACAATTCTGATTTCACAGAAAAGAAAGTACTTACTGAATAGTTTACCAAAAGATTCCCTTTTTGCCTTTTCAGCTTCATATAGGTGTTTCCCATCTTTTATTAAAGCACCCGCCCACTGTTGAGGGAAAATATGTAGATATTTGTTAGTTTATACATTGACACAAAGGTTTGGTCTCAAAGTTTTCCTTACTTACCTCCCTGTAGTGTTTTATGAACATTTTTCTCCTCACAACCTCAACAACAGCTAGACAGTACATTTGAGGAACAGTACTGAGAGCCTCTACAACTTTGACCCTTTCTAGGAGCTCTGTTACAAGACGAAGCAGGGCTTGTAGTTTCTCTCCATCTTGGTCAGCATGAAGCATTACAAAACAACACCACCTATAAAAGTAGGTTACACTTTAGAAGACAACAACTTAGTCATCTTTTCTGCACTTAAATTTCATTAAGATTAGCAACGTATCTCAGTGAACACCATTTTATATGAGACAACAAAAGGCTATCTGGAAGTACCAAGCACTTTAGAATTCAGTAGTTGCCTTGCAGTTCCCTGATAATTTCTCACAGTAAGATATCCATATCAGTGCTCAAAAAATGAACACTTACCACCACTTGAGTTAAGGTATTGGTTTTGACGGGTAATGCTCTTAGTATACATAACCTTAGGAGGAATGATAATGTAACTTTCTCCAGAAGAATTTAAAAAGCTGGTACATCCAGGGCAAAGAACAGACTAATATGTTTAAAAATCTTAAAAATATTTATTGAAAAGCATTAGCAAGAAATCTTAAGGGTAGGGATATTGTCAAAGAAATAAGATTAAAACACTGTCTGGGAAGTTCACATCATCTACTCATGCACTACAAATAACAGCCCCTGTAACACAGAAATTCTCACACCTTGTAACCACATCTTCAATTGCCTTATTAATACAATCAATACATTAATTTCAAGCACAGACACCAACATAACTAAATCACAAGGCAACTACTGAAAAGGTGATCAACTGGTGCGTTTGAAGGGAAGCATTACAGGTAGCAACTCTGCCACCAGAGAAGGCATAAGGTAAAAGTATACCCCATAGGTAACAAAAAAAAAAAAAAAAAAAAAAAAAAAAAAAAAAAAAAAAAAAAAAAAAAATTGTTTTTATTGACAGAAGTGAAGTAAAAGTGAAACAACAAATACAAACATGTAAACATTAAGCAACTAGGAACATATACTAACAGAGAAACCACAAGACATACACTGTTAACTTTTTCATAGTAACAAGTAGTAAGAAATAAAAAGAGGGCATTACACAAAGCCAACAAGCGGCCAGTTCAAAGCACAATGGGAATTACATTTTCCACACAACATATAGTTATGTTGTGGAACTTGCAAAAAACAGGACTCTGTGGATTCAAAAAGTTGGACCAGTTCATGGAAAAAGCCCTACATCAGTAATTAAACACAGAAGAGCTGCTTTTAGATAGGATATTCTCCTCTAAGAATGTTTACATATAGTTAGGTTTACGTTCTTTCCTCATTATTTGATTCCTATTATGGTCATTTGGTATTAACTGTTAGCGAAGACAAGCTAGAACCTTTGGTTTGACCCAAAACACAGGGATTGGTTTTTTGTTGGGTTTTGTTTTGGTTTTTTAACATCTATGCTTTATTCTTCTCTTCAGATCTTCTCTTTGCATTCACTCCTCACACCTCACTAGCTTGTTCCTTACAAAGGGATGCAAGTCCTTTCCTCTAACAACTTACGAATTAAGTGCATACTACACAAATACTTTAACATATAGGAAATAAAAGTGATATTTATGGCAACCTAGGTTCTATGTACCATCCCTAAACACCTGCTACAGTGAAAAAAGTGCAAAAAAGTCACCTTTTCATCATGGTAAGAGCAGATGCATAGGCAACAAAGACAAATTCACATTTTGATTTACCTAGCAGTAATCTATTTTACAAACAACAGGATCTTCGTTGCTAGTGCACTGTTCATTCTGTTTTACTTCTTCCTGCACCTTATATTTGCCTTGTCTATACAAACTGCAATAAAAAAATAAATCTATTTGATGGGTATCCAGCATGCAAGTCTAACATGGTCACAACATTTTCTAATTATTTGCATAAATCTATTTGATGGGTATCCAGCATGCAATAATAATTTTCTAATTTTAAATAATTTTCTAATTATTTGTTGCTAACATAAGCAAAGTTTTTTCTTCCAAGAATTAAACTGTATAGTTTTCCTATGTATCTGATATGGCAAATTATCTAAAGCTTAATTATTCAAGTGTAATGGGGTGAAAAACTGTATTTCCCACTGAGCAATATAGACTACATACTGCCTTCCATGTTATACAGTAATGATGCTTACATGAAAAATTGCCATTTTTACTGACTGTGACTGGATATAATTATTTTCCATGTACTACAAGTAAATCAAACTACAGGCATACTTTTCTGCTTTGATGTGATCACAAGCTACTGAAGAGTGTTTCACTTATGCTTATTATAATCCTTTGAAAACATCAATATAATTGCCAAATTTTAAATAAGATACTGACAACTTCAGATGTTGATGAGAGGAGAGGGAATTGTATGAAGACCATTTAAACTCCAAGAAAAGTTTATCTTAAAATAATATTTCGTTTCAAACTTACAAGTAACTTCATATACAAACTGAAGTGACCCAACTTTTATTTTCTCTCCCATTAACGAGAACTCTATGCATTATCAAAGATACTCTTATGACACACATTCTTTAAACAGTCTTGATGCAAGTGGAAGCAATATGAAATTGAAAAGTTGTAACTTACTTCAGTCTGACTTGTAGATTATTTGCAAGCTCCTGTTTGGCAGTGGTACATTTCTGCTTAATATCTAACAGTTTTCTGTGATTAGTTAACATAATCATCAGCTGATTTGCATGACTCAAACACAAATCAGGCAGCACAGAAGGATCTTTTAAGTTCTCAGCTCTCTTCTGATTAGCCAAAAATCCCTAGAGGAAAAGAGACACATTTGTTACATGAGCTTTGTGACAACCAAAAAGCATGGAAGTGATCCACCTTCTCTGTAAGAATGCAAGCGTTTTAAAAAACATACTGTGACCATTCAGGAGTATAACAGAATGCTACACAGAGAAGTGTCAAAAGTTGCTTTCTTTTCATTCCATAATCCAGTCCAAATAAATCTTATCTGGTATTCCTCTCCCAAACAGTTATCAACACAACCCTATAAGAACTTTACAAAACTAATCAATACCAGTGAAAGATCACAAAAGTTACTGCAGCAGAAAAGTGTCTACTAGGATGGAGGGGATCAACCATCAATCTGATTTCCGTAAACAACCAGCTTGTTAACTTCTGGTATACGCAAGACTTAACATCAACTGACAGCACATTCAGTACTCCTGTGGGCTAAAGAATGTATTTTTTGCATGAAGAAATGAATAAATGAAACGAATTCTTCTTGAGAGCCAAGATTGCAGCTAGACATCTTATTTGCCTGTAGGAGTTGGGCATAGCAAAGAATTATCTGTTGTGGATGGTAACAGGCAACCCCTAAAAGCGTGAGGAACAAAACAGGCAAGATGGACTGCCTTAGAGAGCCAATTACAGTTCTACAAACTTGTTTATTAAGCCTTTGCTGTCCTATCAAAGAATTCAAAACCATACAATAATTTAAAATGTTTCTGAAGCTGAAGTTGATGAGAACAGTAAACCATAGTTATACAAAACTGATGAGAAATGAAACCACTGTCATTGCTTTACATTCAGTATCAAATCAGCAAATTTGTCATAAGATGTTAAAAAGCACATCTGCAAAACCTGCAATAAATGTATGCTAGTTAGAACAACACAGAAATCAAAGTATCAAACAACTATATTAAGTGTAATGAAAAGGAAGATGATGTACACTGAAGATGGAAGAGAATACTGAAGAGTCAGGCTCTGAGCAACTTATGTACTCATATTTGAGTACATAATGAATGAGTGAGGACCCTCTGGGAAACAAAAGCAGGTTGCAAACATTTGAACTGTGTGTATTATCCAAGCCAAGTGAATGGAAATCAGAAAAGGTGGGAAGAACAGTTACTGAGATGACGAAGAAGACGGCCCCATCAAAAGAATTTGGGTTGTTTAGTCAAGGAAGACAGAGACGTTGAAGAAAGATGCTGTGATAATCGTCAGGGAACTGTCAAGCACCAATCGCATAGGTATGAGAGCATATAGATTTGAACTAGCCAAGAACAGTAAGATCTATGATTAATAGATGTTTATAAACATTAGGACAATCAGATTCTATACAACTTTGTAACAGGAACAGAGAAGCCAAGAAAATAATTGTGTTTAAAAAGCAGCTCACTAAGCTTTTTAAATTAATCTCATGGTACAGAGCCTGAAGTTACACAAAACTGGATGCAGTGAGGCAGAAAATCCCCTCCAGCTTTACTCTCAGTTCCAAAAGGCTATTCACGAATTTGAGTATCTTTTGCCATTTCTGTATCTGTGGAACCATCCTTACAATAAAATTTAAACTGAAATTACCCTAGTATGCCAATCAGAAAGAAAAATCTCAATAATCTAAAAAAAGGCCAGTTAAGAAAAACTGCAGTAAAATGACCAAAAAAAAAAAGGTGGGTGAACCCCAATAAATTGTGGACCTGTTTTTTGGACTATGTTTAACAGAGCTAATAGAAGAGTAATACTCCTATGAACCCAACCGATGGAAATTCATTTGGATGTAACAAAATGTTTTGAAAAGCTTCACTACTAATAAGGTAATTAAAAAAAAATCAAACAAGAAAATTTTGGAAAGGATAAGCTATAGGGCAGAATCACACTGAAAGATTAGAGAGGCTCTAAATTTTCTAGAGGCATACTCTTATCACACAATGCCACCTACTGACCACAATTCTATAGTTTATGTTACTAATTACAGCTTCCACAGAGAAAAATAGTTTTTTAATTTAACAAAGCAGCTTTCCACATTAAACCTTAGGGGTTGGAGATAAACTATTCAACTACATAACTCAAGACATAATTTTTCATATAAGGCTGTTTAATGGTTAGTTAATTGAAAAGACTGACTGGAAGCAAAAGAACTCTTAAGACAGGTCCAGGAACAAGCAAATTAACTAAGCAGTGAGGCATTCTAGCAGCAGATGACTTTGTTCCATGGGGTAAGTTTGGTTTGAATTTTAATAATGAACTGAGGTTGGACTAGAAAGTCAACTCAAATTCTGGATAGAACATCAGCTTTTTCTGGTGTGGCATAAAAAAAAGCCTACATTTTCTAATATAAATACTGCCAATGGGATTACCATTGAGATATTCCTTATCCTTCTTCATCCACTTTATTGCTTTATGAACAGAAATAGTTCACTGCTGATAGGTGTGAGGTAAAGGAAAATAACAAGTTGTTTTTTTGGGGTTTTTTTAGATAACATCAAAGATTAACAGTTATCACACAAACTGTGAGCGCTACCTTTAAAAATACACAAGTCCTCACCTGTATTTTTAAATATAATCAAACCCTTGCACTTCAACATTCTTCTTAGATTTCTATGCAGACTATCATTTGAATGAGTAACATGATACCACCTCTATTACCTTACAAGTATCTATTTTTTTCTAAACACTATCCAAACAACTGCAAAGACTGGTACAAAAATAATTCCTAAAACTCAAATAAAAAATCAAGGGATAAAAGTATCTACTAGTACACTTACTCAGTTGTTTAACTACAAATATTTAGTTATTTGTAGCTTCAAAAAAAAAACAAATCCCAGAACAAAAAAAAACAAACACTATCACATTTTATCTGACTGTTCTTAAAAAACCCTGTATCATAAGTAAAGGAACAGACAGTTTAAAAAAAGAAAAGGCAAAGATGAAGATTTGAAAGTTACAGGTCTCTGACAAGCCTTCAAAAGGTACAAATTCTAAATTTACAGTGGCATTTAAACAAGGTGTCAAAGTATCTTTACTTTTAGGCATCTCACTCAAAAGTGGGATTGGTAAACTTGAAGTAGGCTCTCTTCATTCAACTAAAGAGGGAACACAGCTAAAACCAGCACTCACACCATTGGGCCACCAAACACAGGGATGGAAGAGTAGCTTTCCCATCATGCTAAATTCCCTTGGATTTAGTACTGGCCTACAATATAAACACTGAAATTAGCAAACTTCTAAACTTACTCACTGAAATTACCTGAAGATAGGCTCCACTTTTAAACAGTGCTGTCAGAAGCACTGGTAGCACCCACCTTTATGTACCAGCCAGAGGCTGGAGTAGGAAGCTTGGGTCCTATGTGAATGTCAGCCCAGTTCTCTCCTCCTCAAAAGGGGGATTTAACCACCCCACAACAAGGAGACAACATCATTCACTTGCTCCTACTAATGATTTCTGATTGCATATTGGTATAAAATAAATGTCTTTCTTCACTGTCCCAGTTTTGATGTAATGGTGAAAAATCTGAATATCAGATAATGACCACATACAGATTTGAACGTACTTTTAGTTGCAAACAAGGTACCTTCATCACATCCTATTTTTTTCAGCAGCTTTCTGTATTAATATGCAAAATGTTACATAAACACAGCACAACCTGTTTGTGAACCATTCACGAGATTTAACAAGATATACCTTAACACAACAAGAAACACCTTAAACAGTATTTTCAAAGATTTTAAGTTTTACCATATCCTAAGTGATTCTTACTCATACAGAAGAAACAATTTCTAAAATAAAATTACGCTAGATGTATCATATTCCAGAAAAAATACCATATACTGATGTATCTCAGAAGCCAGCAATTTTACACTGGTGCTTTTATGAGAATGCCGATTGGCCGAATTGGCATTAAACATATTTTTCCAATTTATAACCAAGAAAATGCAGACAGGAATTCTTTAGCTATAAAAATATACAGCTTAATGTGCAGTTGACAAAGTTGCAGTGAACTAAAGCTCTGCATGTTCCTACTGCATTAAATCTAGGATATTTTAAGACAATTTTATTTTGTAGAATGACTTTTTCCTCCAATACAGATGAAGCAACATAAATATAAGTCCTTTATTTAAGTTCCAGTGCTGTCCACCACCCCACTGTTGCATTTTCAACAGCCTTAGTGTTTTTAAAAAGTATTTAAATTAAAGTAGTAGTTGGAGTTTCGAGCTGAAAACACAACCACAAGATGTTAAATCTACCAACACTTAAATGTCTAAGTATTATGAATATAGCACCTTTTTGAGCATCTCCAGTGTGTTAAGTTGAAAACTATCTTACATTAAGACATGCCATTGTTTCATCGTAATCTTTAACAGAATACACATATCAAAAAATCTACCATCCTCCAATGTTTCAAACCGAGGTGTATTACCTGAGCAAGTTCTTTTTGTTCATTCACTAGTCTGCTGCAGCTTGCTATCATCTGGTCCAATGCATAGAGCCTATCCTCAAGGCCTTTAATAGCCTTCATGTTCTGATTATCTAGTTTGGCGATAGTTTGTCGACATTCTGCCAGAAAGGGCTGAATGATCCTTGGATCAAGCTGAGGAAAAAAAAAAGTTTATTAGCAGTTGATATAGTGAAAGATGATGCAAGCTAGCTAGATGAGTTTTAATAACTTTAATATTTTATGAAACATCTGTTTCAGAGTTCTGAGTTAACGAGTCTGTGAATTTTATATCACAGCATGAATTTCTTTGAAGTATTCCAACCAGACCATCATTCAAATCGGGATCCTTACAAGGGGAAGGAATATTAGCTGAGGGGACAAGACAGGGTCAGGAGGTGGGGAAGAAGTAGTTTAAAGCTAACATTGGAACACAGTTCACAGAGCTACAATCAAAACAAGTGATGAATGTGACTCAATAGGGAAGTGCAGTAGGGAAGGTACTGTCAAAAAGCTGCAAGATCCATTAGCCTTTTCCCACTAAATGAATGTTTTAATTGATTCCTTAGAAAACAGATCACTTCTAAGTAACTGTAAAACAAGCTATGGAAAAATAACACATTTGCAATACTTTTTTCCTAATAAAAACACATTTTTAAAATTATTCCTTCACAGGTCATTATCCAGAAAAAAGTGTTTGAAACATTAAGAGGCTACCAAAGTTCACAGATATTAACGTTAACTCTTGCAAGCTTCAGTGTAAGAGTAGTGAAGTAAATAAGTCTATTTCCTTTGTTTTAAAAACAATACAGGTTATTGCAACAACTTATATAGGACAGAGTTTACCCTAAACCTAGAACAAATAAGTTAGGAAAATAACCATTAGGTTATTAGGTGCTAGCAGAATATGAAAAAAATTATCCAAATGTATCTAAAATGGTTATGGTATGCCACCTATTATACAAGAGTATGTCCTGTGAGATCATACTAGCTGTCACAACACGGGCTTCTTTTGCCAACATCCAGGTATAATGCTGCTCACATCACAGAGCACACAAATTAATTCTCTGAAAAGAAGCCTCTTACATGAATCAATATTAGCATAAATAAAAGTACTATTTTCCCCTCAATCTATTATTTAACTGTATAAAAGCTTTCATATGCAGCACTTTCTCATTCTGGAAACACCTTTCCAGGGTATAGACAGAGGAACTTTAAGAGGAAAAGAATTACAAATTGAAGAGAAACTACAGAGAACAGGTCTTTCATTCTCTTCAAACAAAAACCCAAAACAAATAAATAAAAGCAAACAAACAAGACCATAAGGGGAAGTACTAGAATCTGGTAATTAGACCAGAAGTTTTCAGATATTAATAATTAATGTTATTACTAGTGTGATAACATACATCAAAGTTTTCTGAAGATTGCAAAGGTCAATTTTTAGTATGTTATGAATGGTCTTATGAATCTTGGTCTTTCTCAAGTGAGTTGTCAATCTTCAAGAACCAGTAATAAAAATAGTCTCTGGGATTAAACCACATTGTTTTTATAGGATCATGTTCATTGCTATTCTATTCACAATTACTCCACTGTGGCATCCTGAATTACTCCACTGCAGCATCCCAAACAGTTTCTTGACAGACAAAATACTAAAGATCATATGGTGAGTTGTTTTTTTTTTTTTTCCTTTTTTCCTTTTTACCTTCATAAACCAATTTTGTTTTCTCTCTTCTTAAAAAAAAAAAAAATAATAATCTATTCCTCTAATTCCACCCTGTAATTTATTTCCTCTATCCATTCTTTTTATCCCATCTTTGACCTAATTGCATCTGTAGCACTCAATTCTACTCTCACTGGTAGATAACATTGCTATCCTCATCTTAACAGGTTAGGAAAGGTAAAGACTTTTATTTAAGTGGCTACAACAGCACTTAACAGCAACATCTGGTTAGCTTCTACTTAACCAGTGCTTTTGCTGCAGCTTAGCTTTCTGCAATTAGAAGTGTCATTCTGTAGAAACACCCAAAGGTTAGAAGAACCAGATACCTAGCACCACTTTGTGCAACACGCCAGTTCTTTCCAGACTACCAGTATCAAAGGTATAAAGTTCATACTCTACTACTTTATACTTTCATGCAAATCTTAACTGAATTCACAGCTTCAAATAAGAATTGCAATCACAAACCATTTGTATAGTTCATATTTCCAAGCAAAGAGCATGGGGAGAATAAGGGGGGAAAAAACATTTTTAAAAAACCAAAACCCTAGTGCCATTTTATTTATTCTAGCTTGCAATGTTAAAGTGTCACCTCAAATACTAAAGGAGCAATTGAATTGCAAGATATGTAGTAATTTCTTTTCCTTTTCAGCTACAGGCCAATTCTGTTTGGAAACTAATTCTAAATCAATGGTAGGCAAAGATTCAATCCTTTGTCTTTGCTGCCATCTAAATAGGGTAAATTAATGTTTTCTTAAGAAAAACTAGGAAATATCACATTACTTCAAAGCTTTGAGTTTTTTGTGAACCAAAATAGATCAAGATTGATCACAGTTGTTCTGGTAGTGGCCAGAACAGTTTGACTAAAGCAATTTCACTACCTGACGATTCTGCTTATGCCAAGAAAACAATAAGAAACTTCATTTTTGCAGAAGCAAACACATTTTTTCCCCAACACAATCAGCTGAAGTTATTTGAAATAAAGGATCTCAGCCTAGTTTTAGATAATAAGGTAAGGACAGAAAAGTACATAACTAAAAGACAGCTCTCTAAAACATGTTATGTATGTCAGATAAGACTACAAGCTGATCAAAAAAGGTACAATAAGTATTTAACTAAAGTGGTTTGGTTTGTTTTTTTTTTTTTTCATTTACATATGCAAACTAGGCTAGACAATGTAAGAAATATGAGCTACAGTGAAAGCAAAGAAAGAAGGAAATTGCTAGGTAAAAAGTTTTTAAAAGGTTATAATGCTCACTGGTTAAATTAATCATTTTGGAAAGTAAAAGAAGTGAGCGATATTTTACTCGACCAGCAGCAGAAATACAAACTGATATGTTGAGCTCTTCTGAGTGCATCTGTATCAGCTAATGAAGAAAGCATATATAGAGAATATGTAAATTTGCCACAATTAACCACACGAATTTGTCCTGTATTTTAACAAAGGCTTCAGTATTTTCACAAAGAACATTAACTTTGGTCCATGAAAGTCTGTACTTTCATTATAAACGTAACTTCTATGAAAATGGCACAGAAAGAAGTAAAGTCACTTTACTGGTATGCTACAAGAAGCTACTGGCTTTCCAACATGAATAGCTACTTGAGAAACAAACAAGATAACACACATTCATTGTGTAAGTATAGATTTTCCTAAAGATCAAATTCTTAACACTCAAGAACTCTTTCCACACCTTCACCCCCTCCCCAGCCTCTCTGCTTTGGTCTCCATTCAGAAAGTTAACTGAGAAACTGGTTACAAAAAGTTGAACTACTTCAAAAACACTGGCATCTGGAAAATAAACAGCAACATTCAATGGAATATAATTTGATTTTTTAAAAATTGTTAACTTACCCTGCTCATAGAATCAAAACATTTTCTGACCAGTGATTCAACATCATTAGGTCTATCTTGAACATTTATCCAGTCTAACAAAGACACATTGAAGGAAGGCTGATCATCATCTTTCAATTCTACTGATGTTTCATTGTCCTGGACAGTAGCACTTTGACCAGATTCTTTAACATCTTTTACGTTTTCAGGATCTGTGCTTTCCAAAGCTGAATGTTCAACTGACTTGCAAAACGAGGCTAACATTGATTTATTGTTCACTTTAGATGTATCAGGATAAAGCACCAATTCAGGAGATTTCCCATCCTCAGTTTCTTCACTTTCTGCCCCTCCATGCTCAGCTGAAGAATCCAGTCTTCCTAAACACTCTCTATAACTATGTCTTGTTAGGCACTCCAGCAGTGGTATCTTGGCCATGATAGAAACAGCAGAACCCAAGCTTTTTTAAAAAGGGTGAAAAGAAAAAGACCATCAGTATCTAGAAGCCAATGTGACACAAAAACTTAGATATAAGCCACTTGAAACATAAAGTACTATTTATTTTAGAATTGAAGCAGATTTCAAAATTAGTTTGTTCATATGGTGTTCAGTATCAACATCATGAGAGGACAGTTAAAGTAGTTACAACTTTTGTTCTCTTCCACTGCCAAATATGAAGTCACAGAATCGCACAGATTGGAAAAGACCTTTAAGATCATCAAGTCCAGTCATTAACCTCACACCGACAAGTTCTCGACTAAATCGTGTCCCTAAGCACTATGTCTACACAACTCTAAAATACCTCCAGGGATGGGAACAAGCATTCTAAGCTTCCAAGTAAACTTATGTTTATAATGCAATAAAAATAGGACAGTTTGACAAACTGAGACATGTTCTTTTTTTTAAAACACACAATTGGGACTTTTATGCTTCCGATCTGCATGAATACCAATGCTTATTAGCAAACATTGAGTGTCTTCTGGCCAACTACTTTTGCAAAGTTTGAATAGTTTCTATATATCTGGTAAAAGCTATAAAGTTCAACTTTTTTTTTCTTTAAAGTTAAAACACATTTATGCTTTTATTTCTTTAAGTATCCAACATCCACTTATACTCTATTAGGCAAAGCACTCATAGTAATACCATAATACTATAATGTTCAGACAGATATCAAAGATTTTCCTTGAAGTAACATCCAGAGTTTCCAGGATATATGTATATATACACATACACACGCACATAAACACACACCCTCCTCCATCCTCAAAGGTATACATATACACCCAAAGTCTGTGCCATGACTTCATACTTTCAACATAGATCATAATTCTTAATATCTGCTTAAGTGTATTAAAAACCAATTAATTCAAAAGTGCAAATATGTATTTTAATGCTGATTAATGTCTACATTTATTATCTAGCTATTTCACATTTGGAAAGACTCCAGCTCTTAAACAGCTGTTCATTAATGAATGTATCTTCCACATAATTCAATACAGGTTTCTGTGTGCTGATGAATACAAGGAAAAAAACTAAGTTAAAAAAATTACTAGCATAGAACAGAAAAAAACTGTTCTCCATGACACATAATCAAACAAATAAATACATGTTTGATTAATTAGAACTAGCATCAAACTTATAACACTTGGAAAATAAGTTTAAAATACAGTAACTCTGGAGATTGAGGCTGAGGTTTAATGGCAAACCTACTGTGTAAGTTTCAACTTGATATCATCTATGGACTGCAAATAGCTTGAATATACATTTTCAAACTTGAAAAGTAGCTTTTGGTAAGAGTATGTACAATCTTCCAAGTTGGCCATTATAGCAGCCCAGCCTTGATGCTGAAGATGTTCATCATGTACAAGACCTTCACAAAAGGAGCAAAGTTTCTTGGCAACCTCATACATTTCCTGCAAAACAAACAAACAAAAAATCCACCAATGCAAATCACTTCAGATTATTAATGTTTCATATAGTTATCACAGTAAAGCGAGACATTTAGAAAATACTGACATAAGGTGTTAAATTTAGACAGCTAAAAAGTTGTACACCTTAAAACTTCACAAAAACCCCCCTTCCTTTATTCCTTTAAAAAATTAATTAGATGACAAAGAAAAAATGTATATATGATTTACTGAGAAATATCTTCAAAACAGGCAGGTGAAAGCTGCATTTCCAAAAAGGTCCCTTCCAACCCATACCATTCTATGATTCTATGGAATGCTGCTAATATAAAACATTCAGTGCACACATGCATGAATAATAATGCCTGTAGTAATCTGATTGAATTTGAGCTGGCAAACAATGTCCATTAAGGAGAAAACTATTGATGAGCCAAGCAGAAGCTCAGAACAAGACAATGAATTGCAAGATGCAGAAGCACAGATGCACAGATGCAGGAAGAGATGCATGAGGAAAACAGCAGGGCAAGTAATCAATTGCAGTCTTCCATTGATTAATAAACCAGATGCAACATGATGAGTAGCAGTGCAGAGTGTCCACAAAACTCTAAAACACACCCTGAAACTTACTATATTTAAACCAACGTGGAAGCTTTTCTGTTAAAGAACTGGATGACATAGCAGCATTTTACTGCCATAAGGAGGTGAGAACCAATTTAACACCCAACTTAGCAGAGTTAAAAGAGACCTAAAATGGTAAGTACTGTATCTTACTCAAAATGCACTAAACAGCAATGCCTATTATATTAAATTCCAAAGTTTTAACTACTAGTAGAAGAGTAACTATTTTACCAACTTAAGAGACTGTCTCCCTCAAAGTGCCTACTACTCAAATACCAAAATGAGAAAGTAAACCAAAAGTCATACAATAAATTCTTCAGCTTACTACTTTATCAATAACATACAACATGGAAAATATTCTCCTGAGTATACTCGTATGTCGGGTTTTAATATCTACCTACTCTCCAAGAAAGAAAGTCTTACTACTTTTTGCAGGTTAAGTATACTGTTAAACTAGGACTGAACACATAACTTTCCTCTGCTATAGTTCATGTGAGAAAACCATGCATGGAGAAACAAGTTATATAAATACAGTGAGAAAACTGTTAAAAACCCATCACATTGGTATATTTCAGAATGCATTTGCTGCTGAACACACGGTTAGCAGTACATATGCGTACAGAAAAAAAAATCTAGAGCCCAGCAACACTTCTGTCCAAAATAAACCACAAAACTGCAGACCATTTTATCCAAACATTTCAGAATTAATATTGAAAAAACCTAGAAATTATGAATACTCTCCCTTTTTTCAAAAGTCCAAGCCTTGTTTCAAGCAGCATGACAAAATTCCACTGTCCTTCAGAACACTTGTATCTAAGCTATCAGCTGATACACAATGAATATACAAACATACCTATGCAACATGCAACACCAAGGAAATCAAAAGCTATTACAAATTTCTATCACTTTGTAGTTAAGATGCTATTTATCTTCTTGTTTTAGGAACTTTTGTCATTTTCTATGCACATGAAAACAAGGATTTCTGCTGTGAAAAGAACAGTTATTTTTTTTGCTACATGAAATCTTGCTTCTTAAATCAAAATCAACCAATAACACAACTGGGACAGCACTCAGATAGTGCTGAAATCTGCAAGTAATTTTCTTCAGACTATCTCCAGTTCATCTATACAACTTAAATTCACATAAGCTGACTAATGCAATATTGACAACTTGAAAAATTTATTATTATTTTCTTAAATTCACTTTGTACACAAGTTACACAAAGGCAAATTCCACAGCATATAAAAAAAGCAGAATTACTGCTTCCTTAATTATCATATTAAGAACCAAAAGAACAAGCTGGTTTACCCTAAGGTATACTAAAAATACACCAAAAATATGAAGATGAAAAGGTGAGTGAATGTCCCCATTTTGTTCTAATGTATGTCTTGGGAATGTACATAAGCATTTTACTTTCAATTTACAAACACTATGTCTTGGGAACGTACACAAGCATTTTACTTTCAATTTAGAAACACTAGTCTCTTCCCAAAACCAATCTTCCTCCAAACTACTGGCAATTTCCAGAAGTGACAGCATATGCAGAACCACAAAGTAGTTTCAAGACCAAAACAATATAAGCCATTTGTAAGATCACTGATTATGAAGTCTTTTTATGCAGTTCCTTCAATTAAGTATCACATTTTATAGGGGAAAGTAAAGACTGGACTTCTCCCACCTTCAAACAAAAACGTTTCTTTAAAAGCCCTGGATAGAGGCTTTTGTTAATTCTATTTCCCTTTGGGCAAACTCACTTAGCATGGCACAGCTTAACTGTGTAATAAGGAAATGTATACACTAGGCTTGATATGGCCAGACTTTTCACCTTGAGACATACTCTTAACTAGTGGCCAGTGTTTGCTTTTTTAGCTAGATCTATTTATTTTCTTCACAATGGAAGTAAAAAGTTACAAGTTAGTATTGTCCTATGAAGCTTTATTATAAGTCATTCTTGATGAATCTAAGTGTGATCAATTCAAGATTTTAGTTTTAACAAGGTTGTTTCCTCGGCAAAACACAAAACAGAAGTCACAAGTTACTAAATTTTAGTAGGAAAAAAAAAACAAACAAACATTACAATTGAGATTGCTTGTTATACTACTAATGACTGGTACTGACACTCTGCATCTATGAGTCTAACCTGTGGTGATTTACCTTAATTTAACCAAACCAGAAGCCTGTGTCCCAGCAGTCTGACTCCTAGCAAAGTAAGAGTAAACAACAGTATTTCCCAGAGTGGCAAATAAATATTTCTTTATTTTTCAGAAATGATGTAACAGAAGGACATTCTAGTAAGTGTCATGATCTGTCATTTAACAGAGACTTCCCATAAGGAACCATTATATAAAAATACCCCAATGCCGTCTAAGTATTCAACAAGGTATCCACTGTCAGGTGAACATCTTGTTGTATATGCAGATGTGGACATTAAAACAAAAAATTTCATTATGAAAGCAATCACAAATACTACACTGAGAGACAAAAGATGTTTTTTTCTGAACTATTTAGAGCTCAAACTGAACTAACATCGAGCTCAAAATTAATTAGCTTGAAAAGATAACTAAGTTTCTTTCAAATAGCATGTTTTCAAAGTTACCTGTAAGCTAATACACTATAAATCAAATTGTACAACTCAACAGAGACGTGACTATTCAGGGCACATACGCAAGATATTACAATAGCATTCCATATTATCATCATCCCAAAGTTATTTTTACACATGTATCCCAAGTGACGAAGAAATTCTCTCTGGGTGGTAGGGGGCAGACAGTAGAATTTTGCCTGTATGGATGAATCCAAACACAATTAGAGTCCACAGGAACCCAGTACTGCTTCGGATGCTGGTTCCTTAGGCAATATCATGAAATAAGCTCATTACGTTCAAATAGTAAAGAAGATTACTCTGAATTCAGAGTAGATGGTTTTAATAAAGTTCAAACAGTACTACTTTTCCACCTATCAGCAACATTTCATTCTTAAGATTATATTAAACAGACACCAGTGCAGGGAACAAGAACTCTGTGTTAAACCACTGTCTTATTTTTTTAATGCTGCATTGAGAGGTTAAGAAGAAAACACTGTTTCAGTCAATCCTACAACTCTGCTTTCAAAATCTGAGAGTGTGCAGCAAGAAAATGAAGTGGTGAAGCTTTTTGCTTCTTCTGGAGTATTTCTATAGCTTAAACTAGTTAAGAAATTAAGAACTACACAGATATATCTCTCTTATCATTCCATCACTACTGAAATACATCTTCAAGTGATTTGGCTTGTTCTTGCTACCACCTCCATATACAACATTTATGGGGAGACCTCAGTCTACTTTAGAAGGATCAAGATCGATCTATTTCACATAACCAGTATGTCTGTATGCAGGAAAGAATTAAGCAGCTCTCTCCTAAATGAATAAAGTCTAAAAAAGAAATTATGTCAGGCATATAAACAAAGGTCTGTAATCCAACATATGTTTTAACACTTCTCAGTAAAGTTGCCAGCTCCAGCACAGAAAATGAAGCCTGCCTAACAACAGGCTTGCTTTTGTCACTGATTTTTCACAGATCCACTCAAGGGTAATTGGCAGACAACCAATGGATCATAGAGCAAAAAAATTCACTTCAGTGGCCACGCAGAGCTACGTCCATCTTACTTGGCTACACCAACATACCCAGAACACAGAGAGCTTCACCACACCACTGGAACGTGGACCTCAAGAAGCACCACTACCAGTACAAGACCAGACGAACCCAGGCTAATCTCAATATGACGGTATCTTGAATAGTAAATAAAAGCATCTTCAGCAAATAAAGGTACTTCCTGATTTTTCAGTAAATTCACAAAAATATTTTATCTTTGGCTGGGTGCTTTAACAAAATGTTTACTTGAATTATTTCCATTGATCACCATAACTTAAATTTAGGTGATTCTTCTGGTTACAACTACTTCCATGTAGTACATTTCAACCAAAATCAGTAGAAGCAACAAAGTATGTTTTATTTAAAATAGAAATTAACTGGTAAAGCATTTCCCACCAATTTCAAGACTTCCTCTTTGCATCCTACTGTTGTAATTCTAAAAAAAGAAAAAAAAATGGGGAAGGTCTGTTTATCTTAAGTGATTTTGCCTGTTTTGGCTGGGATAGAGTTAATTTTCTTCATAGTAGCTGGTGTGGGGCCGTGTTTTGGATTTGTGCTGAAAACAATGTTAATAACACAGAGATTTTTTGCTACTGCTGAGCAGTGCTTACAGAGTCAAGGCCTTTTCTGCTTCTCACACCACCCCACCAGTGTGTAGGCTATGGGTACACAAGAAGCTGGGAGGGGACACAGCTGGGACAGCTGACCCCAACTGACCAAAGGAATATTCCATACCGTATGATGTTATGTTCAGCATAT